AAACTGGTTGATCCACTCTGAGACGGTGCTATTTAAGAGACTGAGCTGAATACAGCAGCTCAGACTGAGGACGTCTCTCGGATGAGAGACGAAACGTTTCTACATTTTTTTGTTGATTTGCTTTGTTTTGTTTTATTTTTGAATGTCCAGAGGACCAGATTTAACTTTTTTAGATTTTTCTACCTGGATTATTGAGCATGCATCAGGATATTCAACTGTATGTGTTTGATTCCTGGGTTGTGTTTCTTTGTTTTTATCAAAAAATGTCCTAAGTGTGGTGCCAGATCAGGAGAACTGTTTTGATTTTGTTGTAGTAAAACCCACATTGCAGATGTTATACCAAACTTACTTGTAGCAGTTATTGTTGTACTTATTGTAGCTCCCCAGTGCTATTAGGCAGCCAATGCAAATGGCATAGGAATAAAATATTTGTGTGCCTGCATCCATCCATACCTGCAAGACCAAGAAGTAAATTTAAAAAAATAGACACTAAAACATATAAAGACAGTGTGTAATAATGGTAGTGTGACTAATATTTTATACTGCTTTCTGTGTAGGTAACATGAGCAATACAATTATCTGAAAATACTGCGTACCAACAGGAAGAAGTGGGAAATCTGAAATATTCATGCTTTTATTGCTGATTTTTCTTTGTTTTTCACTCTCTTTTTAATTTATTTTTTTAGATCTATCTATCTATATCAAATATGTATTATTTTTACCAAATGACTCCTGATAGTTTCTGCTCCAGAACTTATCCTAAATAACTAATTCAAATCTTTTAAAGTGGGGTTCTGTAGAAAGGCTATGAACAATAAATATCTCACTTGTTGTAGATAGCTGGGTGGAAATAGCTAAGATCAAACTCAATTGCTGTTAGCTTAATTAAAAAAAACAACACATTTTACATCAGTTCATGCAAATTTTTTTTTAATATCCCTTTTCAACCAATTATACATTAAATTGTTTTTCCATGAAATATATAATGTTCTTCAATGACCTCAATCGTCCAATCAGAATTAAGCTCTGTTTCTCCAAAAGGTGTGACGTACATTGGCATAATGTTGGTAAAATGTGCTATTGATAACATGGTATATATGATGGATGTTTTTACCTGTGGATCAGCAAGGCGGGATGGATCAGGGTACAGGTAAAATTTGATCCCATCCATGGCTCCAGGCAATGTGAGTCCACGAACAAGCAACACAGCAAGCATCACATATGGGAATGTAGCAGTAACGTAAACAACCTGCAAATGAACAATGAAGATTTATTTGTAGAGAAAACTGGCTCTATAAACTTGTGTCACATGTCATCACTGATGGTTTTGTTGGACTCAAAAGTGCTGTTGGCTCACAGCTGCTAGTTTATATGTTTAATTTACACAATCAACAAGCAATGTAAGGGTTGTCACTGAATGCTTGGATGGTCTCAGTTGGTCTGTAGGGGAGGAGACATGCAGTAAATATCTGTTGACAGTAAGTACTTCACTTCTGTAATCCAGCTTGACTACTTGTCTATTTCATATAACTGAGGTAGAGTACTCTATGTTCTTCTAGAAATCTGAGCATGCTACTGAGCTGTTTGAGAGCTGCAGACAGGCTGGCTTGGTTGGAGGTTTTGGCACAAGGGGAGTAAACTTAAGATGTGAAAATAAGTACTTTGTAACTTAAGAACTCCAAAAAAAGGCTTGCTCAATATGGAGGCATCATCAACCCACAAGAATGCAGCTTGATGATATTTTCAAATTCAAAGGGGCCAAGGAACTCTGGTAGAACACCAGTCTTTCTGATTGTGGATAGAGAGACAGAGCCCTCAGACAATCAACCAAACATTTGTTTTGTTCAGCAGTCCTAAGGGAGGCTGGTCAATTTACAAAATAAGTAGCAATATTGGAGTTGATGTTAGACTGATGGCATGGACACCATCTTTTTGGATGGAGAAGAGAGGTGGCAGATATCCAAGAAAACTTTTAACAGAAATTAAACCAGTGGCAGAAGAGGGCTGTAGGCAAACTCAACCCTGAGGTGCTCCAATGTCCATAACTTTGGCTTAGAGGAAACAACACAATGTAAAGCCATTTGGAGTTCCTGATTTGCCTGTCCAGTCTGCCCATTATATTGGGGATAGAAACCAGAAGACAGACTGACTGTTAAGATGTTAAATAGGACTTCCTAAACGGAAAAAAGAATTAGGGATTCTTTGACCTAGAAGTTGTGACATTTCAGAAGCAAAACAGTTTGATATGACTGCTTTAGAGACTGATCATAGCCATGTTCACCACTATGTTATTACTCTCAGAGTGTGAAAGGCCAGTAAAAAGCCAAAGGCTGTCTGGGACCAATGAAGATTGGGAACCGGCGAAACACATCACTGCTTTGTCTTTAGATACAGAATGGAAGGACTAAGACATATTGCTTAACATCGTTGCCTATAAATAGCCACAAAAATGAAGGTCATTTGAGGTGGCAGGAACACGTAGCAATGTGACCTGTCCCAGTGGATCAATCTTGAGTTAATTTTCAATAGGATGTACTGCTGATGGTGGTTGTGGGGGATCTGTAAAACTTGACTGTATCAGGTCTTCAGTTTCTCAGTAAAGTCATTCAAGGAGTCAGGCTGTAAGGAGATGGCTCCTGGAGGAGATAACATGAGGATTGACATTATGGGACCCTAGCCATAAAGTTTTAATGAAGGTAAATCTTCTAAAGATTATGGACCAGCAAGCTTGACTGGCATTTAGTAAGTTTGCATCCAAATGACAAGACGTATATTTAACAAGTTCATACAAAAAAAGGTGGTTTGGCCACCTTCAATTAAAGTCAACATTCTTCTAAGATTAATGGTTTAATGAAGTTTGAGGAGAAAGAAGGACAAAGAAGTGGCTGGTGAGCAATTTGGGAATTGCAGATAATTTGACATGGCTGATAATTATGACAGAAGGAAAGCGCTCTTTGATAGAAACTGAAGCAACTTGAGAGCTTCATGGTGAGGTTTGTTCATTAGTACGTTTCAGTTGACACATAAAGGCTAAGGCCAGTGTGTTAAATAGCAGCTCCTTGACGAGAGCATCAGGAGCAGGTGCAACAGCCAAAGCCAAGGAAACAGGAGCTCCACTAGTGCGAATGACCAGAGAGAAAACAGTCAGCTTTCAGTTCTGCCTGGCAGTGGCAGATAAAAGGCCAAAGAAGAGGCAGAGGAAGAAGGAAACATTTAAAGGGAGAAAAAAAATATTGAACTGACAAACTTGATGTCGAGTCTTGTTGTTCCAGTGCATAAATAAAACCATTTCATTTATATTGAACACCACCAGTGTTCTCAAAGCTCAAAAGAGATTTTGGATAAGCATAAAAACAGAGACAACCAGAATAACAAGCTCAGTACAAACAAACAAACCAATGCCAAATTACAGAGGGTTGAGGGCTTAATAATAATTGGCATTTTAACTTGGCAGCTCAGCAACCTAACATTTACTAAATAACAATACTCCATCCATTTTCTTTACCCGCTTATTCCATTTTGGGTCACGGGGGTCCAGCAATCACTGTGCGAGGGGCGGGGTACACCCTGGACGGGTCGCAAGTCCATCACAGGGCCACATAGAGACAAACGAGACAAACAACCATTCACTCTCTCACTCACACCTAGGGACAATTTAGAGTTACCAATCAGCCTAACATGCATGTTTTTGGTCTGTGGGAGGAAACCGGAGTACCCGGAGAAAACCCACGCATGCACGGAGAGAACATGCAAACTCCACCCAGAAAGGCCCCTGGACCGGGGTTTGAACCAGGGACCTGCTCGCTGAGAGGCAGCAGCTCTACCAGTTGCGCCACCGTGCTGCCCTAAATAACAATACTGTATACACAAAATGCAATGACCTGCTCAAAGGTAGTGAGGGAGTTCTGGCATTTATCTTAACTTACTAAATTACCCTGATATGTAGTCATGGCCATAATTTTGAGATTTACATAGATTTTGGTTTTCACAAAGTTGGCAGCCTCAGTTTAAAAAAAAAAAAAATTTTGTCAAATGTTTATATGGTACATTGAAGTACAATTTAAAGCATTTCATACATATATGTATTTTTTTAACTTTTACTGATAAATCTATCCAGTTTGAGCAAAGACTTAATATTTTCAGTGTTGACCCTTCTTCTTTAAGACTTTTGCAATTCGCCTCAGCATGATGTAAATCAGCTTTGGGTTTGGAGTTGATAAAAGCTTCTGGGATTTAGTTTGTCCACCCTTTTTTTGAGGATTGACTACAGATTTTCAATGGGATTGAGATCTGGGAGTTTCCTGGCCATGGACCCAAAACGTTGATGTTTTCTTCACCGAGCCACTTGGTTATCACTTTTGACTCGTGACATGGTGCTCCATCATGCTGGACAAAACATTACTCATCTTCAAATTGCTCCAGGATCGTTTGGAGAAGTTGCTCTTGGAGAATGTTTTAATACCATTTCTTACTCAAGGCAGTGTTCTTAGGCAAAATGTTGAGCGAACCACTCCCCTGGATGAGAAGCAACCCCACACATGAATGGTCTCAGGATGCTTCACTATTGGCATTACATGACTCATGGTAGCGCTCACCTTTTCTTCAATGGACAATTTACTTTTCCACATGTCCCATATATTCTGAAGGGGGCTTCATCAGAGAAAATAACTCCACCCCGGTCATCTGCAGTCCAATCCTTTTACTTCCTCCAAAATGCTAGTTTGTCCTTGATGTTTTTCTTGGAGAGAAATGACTTCTTTGCTGTCCTTCTTGACACCAAGCCATCCTCCAAATGCTTTCATCTCACTGTACATTCAGAATCACGTGCCATTCCTGTGCAAGCTCTGCACTGGTGGTGACCCAATCTCATTGCTGCATCCTCATAAGGAGACAGTCCTTATGCTTGCTTGACTTTCTTGGGTGACCTGAAGCCTTCTTCACTTCAATTGAACCACTCCTTGAAATTCTTGATGAGTTGATAAATGGTTGAATGGGGTGCTATCTAACAAGCAACATTGTCCCTGCAATTTATTTGATCACTCTTCACAATCTAGAGTTAATACAAACTGCCACCATAAAAACTGAGGCAGCAAACTGGGAAAACCAATATTTGTGCCATTTTCAAAACTTTTAACCAATACTGTAGTGAGAGCAAAAAAAGTGGACTAATCACTGCATTGAGACTTTGGGGAAGATGCATAACCAAGGAGGTCTTACAACTTTGTTTAATGTTGATTCAATGCAGAACAACTTCAAATCTGTAAGGAATTTAGTGTTACATATTTAGCTAGGAGGCAGCACGGTGGCGCAACTGGTAGAGCTGCTGCCTCTCAGCGAGCAGGTCCCTGGTTCAAACCCCGGTCCAGGGGCCTTTCTGGGTGGAGTTTGCATGTTCTCTCCGTGCATGCGTGGGTTTTCTCCGGGTGCTCCGGTTTCCTCCCACAGACCAAAAACATGCATGTTAGGCTGATTGGTAACTCTAAATTGTCCCTAGGTGTGAGTGAGAGAGTGAATGGTTGTTTGTCTCGTTTGTCTCTATGTGGCTCTGTGATGGACTTGCGACCCGTCCAGGGTGTACCCCGCCCCTCGCACAGTGATTGCTGGACATGGGCACCAGCGACCCCCGTGACCCAAAATGGAATAAACGGGTAAAGAAAATGGATGGATGGATGGATATTTAGCTAGGAATGTCTGTGAACCTTGACCTTATATTCTTGATGCTGATAAAAAGCACAAAGGGAAAAACTAATTAGCAAAAAGGAGTTACAGACATTTCTTTAAAGTGATATGATTGTGATGTAATGTAAAGAACCAAAGGAAAACTTTTCTTCTTCTAGTTGTACCCTCCCCCTCGCACACTGTTGGGAATAGGCACCAGTGACCTCTACAACCCAGACAGGAAGAAGCGGGTAAAGACAATGGATGGGCGGATAGTTAAAAAGATGCTTTACACTTAAAAATGTCTTTGTTCTACCTTCCCAGTTGACTTCACTCCTTTCCAAACACAGAAGTAACAGATGATCCAGGACAGCAGAAGACATAAAGCCAAATCCCACCGAATGTTGCCCATCTCCCCAATACTCCCAGTGATGTTCAGTACTCTTCTCCTAAAAGTTACAGTCACATTAGTCACTTCAACAGCCTCTCCATAAACCTTTTGGTCTTCTGGATTTGTATGTTTTTGTTTTTACTCACTCCCAAAACTCTCTCACAGGTGACGTTGCATTTTCAACAAAGGTCTTGTTCAAATAATCCAGACTTTTATCGAACTCCACACAGGTTTCTGAAAAATACAAATTAAGTAAAAGGCTTTCAATGAAACATTTATACAGTTTAATAAAACTTGTTAAATCTAACAATGATTGTCACATGTTTTAAGCATTGTAAAATGTAACTTATTTGATAAACAAGGCTTTTTCTGTTAAGAACAATAAATTCCCTCGTTGTGGCAGCATTTGCTCCCAGAGCTGTAGTCTAAGTTTGTGGCTCACTTAGCTGAATGACACATTTAAACAGTCTTTTAATGGCTATAACATATAAAATATAACCGGCTTGTTAAAAATAAGAAAGTGCAGATCAAGGCCAACACTTTGACTTAAGAGTCGACTCATAACCAGACCCTCAAACATACTAATTTGTCCCACAGCTGAATATGACAAAGCAGCTCCACTGTGAAGAAGCAACAAGTCATAACTGCACTAAGGATGAATTATAATCTGGATGTTGGATCCTACCTGTGTTCCAGCTGTTTTTGCAGCTCGCCCATGGAAGTTCGGAGTTGAAAGAGGAGAAGAGATACAGGAACGCCCAGGCTAATATGACAATGTAATATATACTGGAGTACAAAATGACCACTTGAGTGCCGTACCCTATTCCTAAATCAAACAAACAAACAAACAAACAAACAAACAAACAAACAAACAGAAAAGAAACAGATAATGTCTTTAAAACACTTTATTATTTTATTCTTTGGGGTTCTACAAAATAAATGTACCCATTTGAATGTTAAAATTAACGGTACATTACTGCAGTATACATGATTTTTCTGCAAGCTCTGCTCAACTGGGCTTACTGCTCAACAGAAAGAATGGGGTTTGGTAATTTATCCACCATTCTGATCTTTGCAAACATGTTTGATCTAATCTAAATGCATAAGGACAAAAAACCCAGAGGTTCAGTCAAATGCACACATATTTGTTTAGATATGAAATGACAAAGTGGTATTTTGAGTGGTATTTCTCCGTTGAGTCATTGGTAAATTAGTAACTTTACCTTCAAACAGTGGACAGATTTTTCTCCAGCAGGTGATACTTCCCTGTTTGGTGTACTGGCCAAGAGACGTCTCCAGCAGAAACAAAGGAATGCCACAGGTGAAAAGGAAAACTATGTAAGGGATGAAAAAAACTCCTGGAAGAAAAAAAAAAATCAAAGTTTCACTATATGGTTTGTAATTTTTTAATTATCCCAGTTGTTTGTACAGTCCTGTGCAAAAATACTGGTTCATTCCCACATTCTTCATACTTTTCCTCCAAGCAGACAGACTGTCATTCTGATCTTCCAAAAAGGTCTTGAACAATATTTCTTAAGGCCATCTAATATTTTCTTTTGGTTTTTGGCAGCTTTACCTCAGCACTTAACCATTTTCAATTAAATGCTTTCTTTTACTTTTTTTGTTTGTTTTGTTTGTGAAGCCCTTAAGCTGAACTTATGAATCACTTTGGTACAAGCAGTTTGTCAGAAATCACACTTTGACCCAATATTTTTTAAGCCAAATAATTGAAAAATACAAAAAATGTCATGGTTTACCACATACAATAGTATTTTAAGACCAAAATGGTGATCCCCAAAGAGTTATTAGCAAAATAACCTTGCCTACAGTAGATCACCAATTGAAGGATTATTTATCTATCTGGTCTTTGCTGGATTTAATCATTTTTTCTTAAAAATATTACTTTTAGATATGCTATAAATTTGCTTGCTTGCTTGTTAAGGCTGATTTCTTATTTTCCTTTACTATTTGCATTTTTGAGCATGCACTGCACAATATGCATCAGGCTCAAACACATGGACAGAAACTGAGTGAAAAAGCAGCCAAAGCAAAAACAAACTTAAAAAGACATTCAAAAGCTTAAAAATAACTTGATCAAGACCTCCTAGAAAACTCGTTTATGTTATGTTGTTTATTTGTCATACGCAAAATACTTTTTTTTTCCATTTACCCTTTATTTATACAGGTAGTCTCATTGAGTCATGAGAACTCATTTTCAAGAGAGACCTGTTTTTGGGAGCAAATGGTGGGGGTTAAAGGCCTTGCTCAGGGGCCCAGAGTGGGGCAAATGAGGGTGGAGGCAGGTGTAGGCCTTTTCCACCTTTTCCACCCACATTTTGATGTTGACAGTACTGTACTGACAGTAATATTGTAGAATATAAAGACATTCTTACAAAACAGACTGGCTTTTTGGAGGCTATGAACATATATATGTATATATATTTGGTATACAAATGAACTGGTACACTCTGTACCCTTGGAAAAATGACGGTATATTTGAATAAATTCTGGAGAAACTCACCCCCTCCATTTTTGTAGCAGAGGTAAGGAAACCTCCACACATTTCCCAGGCCTATAATCTGTCCTGCAACTGCCAAGAGGAACTCCATTTTGCTCGACCACTCTCCTCGGGGGGTTGCATGTTGTGCTGAGCCCATGTTCTGGTTGAATGTGACCTCTTGAGCTTGGTCCTCATCCACCGTGCTGTGACAGGAAAAAAAAACAGTTCTTTTATTATGGTGGATTTAATGAAGTTTTTGATCAGAGTAGACAGTTTGCTTGGAACACTGTAGTGACAAACATCTGGGAAAGCACACATCATTTGTGTCATAATAGTACCCAACACTGTTATTTTAATATTTGTAAATTAAAAATGCATTCTCTGCATTCACATATTGCTTTTCTTGTGTACAGCCAGTGACAATAAACAATATAAAAATGTAATCCCATTTTCTCCACAGTTCAGCGGCTCTTCTGCATTAGGTCAACAGATTCATCAATGTTGCTTTTGTTTGGCTGTGTCAGTTCTGATGTGGGAGTTTAGCAAGTAGACTGGAAAATATGCGCTCATCTACATGACTGTTAAAAAGCCACCAGAGTAAATAAAGTTCTCAACAAAAAGAAAAAAAAAAGAAGAAGAGAAAAACCCAGGAACAAGTAAAGGCAAAGAACAAGCTTAGGCAAGAAAATGAAACCAGGTGCGGACAAAGTAGGACAAAGAGATTTTTCTTTTGGCTGCTCTCTACTGCAGTGGTATCACAGGGAGGTAACTCATACAAGAAACTTGGTAATTGTTTTACGCTGTATGCCTTTCCTGAAGCAACATGGGCTCGAACCTGCAGCTTCATGATTAAGAGACTGTGGCACAAAAAATGACAGATGAACAGATGCACTAACACATGGACATTCAATAAAGATGGGAGTTTGGCAAACCAAGCAGAGTCTGACCCAAACCAAATGGTTTGTGTAAAACACAAAGTTGCTAGTACTCAGAGAGTTTATTGAGGATGATAGCCAGCTACTACCACATCATACTTGAGCTCAATGTCTGTAAATGGGACTGAGTTGTGTCCATTTTTGTGTTAACTAAAGTCATCTGGCTGCGATGAACATCCATCCATCCATCCATCCATCCATTATCTTTACCCATTTCTTCTTTTTCAGGTTGCAGGGGTCATTGGTGCCCATATCCAACTATCATTGTGTGAGAGGCGGGGGACACCCTTGACAGGTCTCCAGTCTATCACAGGGCCACATAGAAACAAACAAGACAAATAACCATTCACTTTCTCACTCACACCAATGTGCAATATACAGTAGAGTTAGCAATTAGCCCAACATTCATGTTTTTGGTCTGTGGGAAGAAACCAGAGTACCTGGAGAAAACCCACGCATGCATGGAGAGAACATGCAAACTCCACCCAGAAAGATCCCGGCTTTCTATCTGGCAACCTTCTTGCTGAGAGACATCAGCTTTGCCAACTGATCCACCGTGGCGCCTTGTGGTGATCATCTTAAATTAAACTGACTCTAAAAGTGTTTGTTGTAGATGAGCACCCAATGATTACTTCCAGAGAATTTCAAAAAAATTTGTCCAGTGGTTCATTTTATATTTTACTAACAGACAGACAAACAAATGAACAATAGCTGCAAGTGATAGAAACCAAACTGTTCAATAATCAGAATAAGTTATTTTACCCACTACTGACTGTTTCTGTTTGATTGCGTTCAATGTTTACGTCTCTAGACAGGCACTTGGAACAGAAGGTTCAGCTAACAATAAAAGTGACAGCAGGGGTTGGGTGGGGGATCCATGTAACAGAAACATTACAAGTTGGTCCAATGAAGTGGGGGTCTGATATCACAATATTAGATTTATCCATGTTTAAATATAAGAAAAAAAGTTTGGACAGTATAACGGCCAGATATAGAAATCCATCTCGCTCAACCTGCTGCTGTTATCACTTTTAGGGGGTGTCCTAATTGTATAATGGGGTGTCAGATCCTCTCTTTCCCTGTAATTTGAACCAGATGTTTACCACTCATAAATACAAGGTTCTGGCTATAAGAGATTACTTAAGTTTAAAGGGTTACAACAGTTTGTATGGTGATGAAAAGGTTGCTTTTGTTTGTTCACAGGCCTTGAATCAACAATCTGTTAAAAGCAAGACAATGAACCCTTTTCTATTTATTTTTATTTTTAGTCACAACTAGAAGTCTTGTATAAAAGGGGAATTAGATGGACTAAATGGAGTGGGAGCAGGAATTGTGTGTAGAGGTGGGCAGCTGTGTTATTTCTCCAAATGCAGCAGCTTCATTAGTTTATGGACTTTGTGATCATGAAGAAAAGTCTTGAGCAACTTCACACAAAGTTTTCCTGCACCACAGTCAGAGCCATCAGACAGAACAAGAAAAATCATCACAGACCTGTCAGCTACCAGGAAAGAAGGCATGCGTGAACAAGGCTGCTGAGACTAAACAGTGCTCAACAACTTACTGTGCTTTTTTCCACTATGAATCCACACTTGGCAAAGGCATCTGTGGCCAGTTTCCCTTTTTATAATCCCAACTCATCACCTGTTCAAAAGCAAGGCTCCCTGGAAAATGTATTTTTGTTTGTCCTGCTTGTCTTTTTATAGACGATGTGCGAAGATATATACTGTCACACTGCTCCACTGTAAATCAGTCTGTTTCGTCCTAATTTTAAGACCAGTATAGGCAAATTATATACAAAACAACTTAAGCACAATTTATTTAATCGCGTAAAATAATTATTTTATTAGGCTATTAAAAGCTTATGCAGTCTGTTTTATTATTTCACAGAGCAGTCTCAAGGGTTTCCATAAACAGGAGGAACTCTGTAGCATAACCAGTAACCTTTGGCCTACATATAGGAACCAGCTGTAGTTCAGTCCAAGTGCAGTTCAAAACAATGATTATACAATTTGCATCAGTTTCAGAAAGTTAAACACAAGAAAACTCCACTTCAGAAGTTCCAATGAAAAATGAGAAAGAGCCCAACATTAAAGAAAAGAGAAGAATACCTGAGAAAAAGTGTCACGAGGATTTGGTTTTGTGTTATACATCCATTTCCAGTGGACTCATCTGGTGTCCTCAGTGGAAAGTAGAAATGTAGCTCCCCCAGTCTCACGGGGACAGGTTTTATACTCAGATCTGACCATGAGTGAGTCCATGAGTGGAAGTTTGGGGGAGCTGGGTGGTGTGACAATGAGGGAAAGCTGGAGAGCAAGTTGAGCAGGGAGAGGAGGGGTGGGACTGCCCCCAAATGAGACACCTGAGGCGGAGACTGCTCCATCAGACCACATGGTCCCAAGAAAAGGGAGGGGATAACTTACACACATACTGTAGTCCATTTAGGTTGCCTCCTCCTCCCTTAAACTTCCTGCTGCCCGGGGTTAAAATGATCCATTTGACCGAAGGGCAGCTGTAGGGTTAAATGTGCCTTCATACAGTAGGTTGTTTACTATAAGTCCCTAAACTGAATAATTCATTCTGACTTTGACTCCTTTTGATGCTACAAGATTTATCAAATGAGCTAGTGAATTTTACAAACTTTCTCAAAATATAAAGTTTAAACTACCACTTAAAGTCCCCATATATATATATATATATATATATATATATATATATATATATATGTATATACAAAAGATTTGAAAATATTTTTATATGCCCATAAGATGTTTTTGTCTTACAAGCCTTAGCAAAACTTATCATACTTACAGAGTCAGAGTTTCTTTATTGTCGATGTGGTGGAACAAAAATATGTATACAGGGTCCCAGATACATCCAACAATAAAATGTAAAAGAAAAACAGTAATAAGATATTGTAAACAAACAAACAAAAAAAATTGTATGACTTTTTATAACTGTTTATTGTTGTCGCTGTTGTCCATTGTTGTCATCAATCTTTGATGAAATCAGGTCTCTCTTGTAAATGAGTCCTTGAGGCTCAATGGGATTTACCTGTCTAAATAAAGGTTGAATGAAAAAAAAGATCTAAGATATGAACTAAGAAAAACATCAACTAAAAGTATGCTAAGCACTAATAGCATTAAAAAAATACGCCAAACAGCAGTACGAACATGAGTCTGTGTGAGCAGATGAGCACGCATGAACACAGCAAGATGAAACAGATCAGCAGCAACATGATATGATTCTTCACAGTGATTATTCTAAGAGCCTCATGGTAGAAGCTGTTCCTCAGTCTAGTGGTTCTACACTTAATGCTCCTCAACCTCCTTCCTGAGGGGAGCAGGGCAAAAAGTGTGTGCTGGGTGAGTAGGGTCTTTCATGATGCAGGTGGCCCTCTTCCTGTATCTAGAGGTGTAGGTGTCTGTGATGGTGGGGAGACTGACTCCAACAGAGTTCTGTGCAGCCTTAACCACTCTCTGCAAAGCTTTTCTTTCAGCAGCTGTGCAACCTCCATGCCACACATTGATGCTGGAGCACAGGATGCTCTCCACTATACCGTATGTTAGGGATTTCTGCTTTCAAATTGCACAACACCAGCTCAAAAAAAGTAGGATCAGACAGACTCATCTGTTCTATTAAAATAATGATGTATTCATTTTGTTGAAGATGGAATCTCAAAAAAAAAAAAAAATATATATATATATATATATATATATACATACA